GTGGAGTGAGGACCGAAAGCTGAGTGTAGTGATTGTTCCCACCAGTACAGTCAGAGAAGAGCAAATCTTCCCCCACACACCCACCCACACAGACCTCGAAAGCTAAAGTAGTGTACCAGTTTCAGCTGCCACTGCCACAAAAGGCACTTAATTGAGTATCAGGAAAGAAGGGCCTAAGATGCTTGTTTCTGCTCCCTTTTCCTATTCCTCCCATTATCCAAGCCCCATGTATGGAACCTCAAGCAATCTAAATTCACAAGAGAACTTGCCTCAACTGCCTGCCTCAATTCATAGATGGAAAATCTGAGCTGTGTGAGAGAAAAGAATTGCCCAAAGACAGATGATTAGTTAGAGCCAGAAACTAGACCAGAATCCTGAACTCCAGATTTCCAGTCCAGGTTACTGTCTGCTGCGTGGTGCTGCCTTGCCAAGATTTTGTTTCCATTGGAAAGTACGACAAGATGGCTTTCAGGATAGGTGCTCTTCCAATGGCCCCACTGAGGACATGTAACAGGTCCCTGTCCTGGAATGGGGATACAATTAAGATGATTTCAGAATTATCAGTAAAGAGATGGTCTCTCCTTCATTTGTTCCTGGGGACTTAGCCACAGAGGCACAGACCCTGGATATAGACTGTAAGAAGCCAGTGGAGTCAGATCAAGTCAGTGTTATGGAGCCTGGCAGGTTCTCTGGGATGTGCAGGTATAGGAAAATATGAAGAGAAAAAGTGAGAGCCTCGATTTGAAATATTCCATGTTTCTTTCTTTCTTATTCTGTGATACTAGGGGTCAAACCTAGGGTCTTCACACTGAGTTACACTCCCAGCCCTTCATTTATTTATTTTGAGACAGGGTTTTACCAAGTTGCTTAGTGTCCAGACTGGGCTTGAATTTACTGTCTTTGCGAAAGAGAGGACAGTATAGCAGAGATTAAAACATGGGCTTGGGAATCCAATAGACTCCAATAGACAGTGAGGTTAAACATCCTCACTGGGTGCGCCCCATGAGACATACTTCCTAAGCCTGCTAACTGGGAATAAACAGTTATCCCAGTGTCTATTCCATACATGGTACTTAATACTGGCTCATTCTGAAGACTCAGTTCCGCAGTTCAGGGGATATAGTACCCTGAGGCCAGCCAGCTCTGGTCTTCCACAGCCAGTGTTCCTTCAAGTTGTTAGAAGGCTGATGGGGAAGAGAGGAGCTGTCCACCCTCTTGGTGCTGACCTGACAGGACCACAGAGACTTCCAGCTGCTCAGGCTGCCCAGGAACTTCACGACAGTGATTGCGGGTAAGTGGATGACAGTGCTACAGGGCTGAAAGAAATAACTTTTTCTAAAGGCTCTCATCCTGAGGATATGCAGCAAGCTCCACTGGGTCCATTGCAGCCCAGAGACAGGAAATGAACAAAGGCAGACATTTTTAGAAGCTAGCACAAACCCAGAGAACCTGCTGTTTGTGAACCGCTTCAGTGCCTCAGAGTGCAATAGTCAGGAATATCAGTTACACACCTCTCTGCTCCTAAAGCCAGTTTGAGTTGCAAATAAATAAGCCTCTCTGCCACAGGCAGGCATGAATGAATTTCTAAGGCAAGGTTGGCTTTATGTACATGTGAACTCAGTGCAAAGAAATAGCTCCACATCTGGGCAAGATAGAGTCTACATAGATGACAATTCTTTCTACTTAGTCATCTGTAAGACTATTGTGGTGTAGGAGACAACCCAGGACTAGGGGGGTGGATCTGTATTTTCATCTCAGATCTGAACCAGAATATCTGACCTCATATCTGGTCTCATGAGCAAGCTGCTTTGCTACAAATCTATGACATCCAAATCCACAAACTGGCTGGTGACTATTATACCACAAACCATAAGTAGGAAAATGAAGTGCCTAGAAGACCTGATCCACCGTGTTCTCTCACAGAGACACTGAGTTCTTGTATTACCTCCTTAGCTGGCTTCCAGCCCAAGTTAGGTTGAAAAGAGAAGTAGAAGAGAGAAGAGTGGGAGTGGTTGTTAATTGGGCTTCATTAGAGGAAGCTGAGTAACCAAATGTGGCATCAGAATAGTCAGAAATTATACACATAAGCCTGAGTTGACCTAACTTCTCTCACCAGCTCTGGGCCCTTGGGATGCTAATTAACCTCTCTGAACTTGTTTCCTTTTCTGTTTGATGGTGGCTGTTGCAGTGTGTCTTGTAATGGGTGCCATGAAAATTAAATAAGGCAAGTAGAGTGTCTGGATCTTAGCAGGTCTTGGATAAAAGCAGTTGAAGTTCTATCAGACAGTGGAGACTTAGCTTCTCCCAGGATATTGCCAGCTGGGACTGCCAGGCAGTTGGCTTCCTCTTTTCTCTGGCTAGATTTAACCTTTCTTGGTTGGCCTGCAGGAGCTAGAACAGACATGGAGATTGAGGAGTGGCAAAGGCCCTGTCTAGTGAGTCAGTTTTTCTCTCTCAAAATGAACAAGTGAGACAGAATTCTGATGACCTGCTGGAGAACTGTTCAATTGATTCTTACTCAGTTTGACAGCCGGGCCAGGGCAGTGTTTATAGTCAGCCTGTTTAAGGAGGGACCATCAGCCTGATCTGATAGTGGAACAAAGAGAGCACTGGGTAGTGAGTCAGGACTGGTCACTCCCTGACCAGCCACAAATTCTTATGCAAAGAACAACAACAACAAAAATCACCACCAGTCTCAGTGTCCTTATCTGTATAACAAGAGAATCTGGGCGCACTCCTAGGACCTCTAAAGAGATTATATGAGATAGTAGTTGCATAAATTATTTGAAAATTGGAAGCAGCTGTAGGGCCCACATGGTGAGGCTGGCAGAGAAGGACATGCCATCAGGCTGAATGCCTCTGTGTTCATAGGAGCCATCATCTCCATCAGCCTGATCTGAGCACTCTGGGTTTGCCACCAGTCTTCATTCATGAGGTCCACCTTCTGCTCCTGAACCACAACTCTGTGAGATACCTGCCTTCATAATTAGGTATTTTCTCTGACACCTCCTTCCACATGGAGAATCAGATGCGTGGCCCTATATTTCAACTTGCAGATCCAGAACCCTTTGACTCCCCAAAGGGGTGTGCTCTCTGTATCTACAGCACTTCTCTGGGACCTCTCTTGGGCCACTGGTGCCATTCTAATTCCTGTTGAGTGCATATCAGTATTTCATCTCTTTCTAAAGACAGCTAAGGAAAATACCACTGAAGTTACCAAATTCTTGGTAGGCGTGTGTGTGTGTGTGTGTGTGTGTGTGTGTGTGAGCACATGTGAGCAATAAAGATAGTGGCACAATGGGAAAATGTGGTCTTTAATGTCCAGTAATCAATTCACTTTATTCAGTCTATTGATGCCTACTTGGAGTGATCTTGAACAAACTATTAGACTTTTAGGGTCTCAACTCCTTCATTTGTCAAAAAGGAATCATGATATTTACATTGGAGAATTGCCACAAGGATTGACAATGACATGTGCCTCTGTGTCTTCCTGTTGTTAAGCCTCCCTCAGGGCCTAGTTCCAGCGTTTAATGACTCATGTTAATGCTGTCATCAACATTCCATCATTGCTGACTTTTCTCCGGCTCCAAGAAGCATGCTGTGCTGATCTGGTCACAGTGTATTTCTCAGGCAGGCACACACAAAGCCCTTTGCCTCTGGTCAGTGGGTTGGGTTCTTGAGTCCTTTCATGGAAGGGGAGTAGGGCCTATGTGAAGCCCTAGATGAGCCATGCACCTTCCTTAATCAATGACTGTGACCTCATTAGTGGTGTCTAACACCACATTAGAATGTGAGCTTTCTATGAAGCCAAGGAGGCTAAGGACCTTGCCATTATGGAGATCAGTACTCTCACCACCCATGAGGCCAATCTGTGGAGTTAGGGGTGCTGACTTCTTCCATTATCAACACTGCCACCCTGCCTGTGCTTCAATGTTTTCATCCCTAAAATATGGGAAGTGATAAGCTCTTCTTGTTATTGTTGCAAGGATTATATAAAGCATAGCAATGTTTGCATGTATTGTGCATATTCCAATATGCTATGAGGATATTAGTTAACAATTTATCTTCTTTTTGTGACCCTTCAGAGTACCTCCAGGCCAGGACATTAGGAGGATGTGCCCTGGTGGTGCTTAGCCATCTGACTGCCTTACCTGGGCACTTCCCATTGAATATGTTCCTCACATGGCTACAGATGACTCTCATCAAAATCACCTGAGGAGCTTATGAAAAATGCAAAATCCCAGACTCTGTGATTTGGAAATGTAGGGAAATCCAAATCTTTAACTAGCATCCCAGGTTCACCAAGTAATGCTAATAAACACTAAAATGTGAGAATCAAGGATCCAGTGTTGTCCCCAAATATAGTGAATGATGCTCTTACTTCACAAATATGCCTGAACACTTAATTCCAGCACCTATCTGATTGTGTGGGAGCAAAGACAGGCTTCCCTAGGCAGGCGCACTAGAGGTCAGTCTCTCCTGACTGAGAGGATGTCCTAGGGAAGTCCAGGGACCTCTGTGTCTCTCGGGCAAGTCTGAGGACACTGTTGAATCTCTAGCTAGAGAATGATTGGAATCAGCGTAGCCGCTGCCCTGGGACAGACTGGGGAAGTCCTGGCGGACATCTGGACTCAGGATCAAGCAAAACAGAGATGTGGGTTCCCTCGTTTCTCTGTCAAAGAAGTCTACCTAAACTCCCAACTCAGCTCAGAGAGGAGGCTGCAGCACCCCCCGGGAGGCTCGGCTGCAGGACTGACGGGCTAGAATAACCCCTATGGGAGTGGTGGTCAAGGTCAGGCCAAGCTGTTGTTCAGGCTGGGGCAGCTTGATGGCGAAAAGGTGTGAAGGCGCTGGGGTATCTCTCTTTTTCCTAGTCAGGCTTTCTTGACTCGATCTGTGTTTGACACTCTTCGGGGAGAGTGGAAGGGAGGGAGGGGAGGAGCTACAGGGAGCCAATCGCCCTGCACAGGAGCCTTCAGGCTTGGTCCCTCCGAGTGTGTGTGTGTGTGTGTGCGCGCGCGCGCGCGCCTGTCTGCCAGCACATCCAGGGGGATTTCCGTGAGAGACGCAGCCGGATTTCAGAGAACAAGAGGAGAGGAGGGGAAAAAACAAGAGGAGAGGAGAAAATTGGGCTGGGAGAGGCAGACAGAGAGAACAGGAGAGAGAGAGAGAGAGAGAGAGAGAGAGAGAGAGAGAGAGAGAGAGAGAGAGAGAGAGAGGAGCTGGAAGGGAGAGCAAGCAAGAAGAGCAGAGTGAGAGGCAGGGAGGGAAAAGGAAGCGAGCAGGAGGGTGAGTGGAGAGGAGACCGGGCTCCGAAGAACTGAGTGAGGACGGAGCAAACAGAGGCAGTGGCAGTTGCCGAGCAGGACCAGGACCGCAGGCTGCTATTCAGGACCACAGAGCACCGAAGGCTCCAGGCTCAGCGGTGCACGCCAGCGCTCGGCAGAGGTGGTACGGGCGTCTGGGTCTTAGCGGGGAGTCCAGGTGCTCCACTGGGAGGTGGCGCGGGGCTCCGAGGTGACTTCACCCGGACGTGTCTGCCTGGGAGGTGGCGCGGGGCTCCAGGGCGGCAGCACGCCCTCCCTCCGGGGAGCCATGTCAGGCGGCGCCGGGGGGCTCCGAGTGGCCGCGCCGCCGAGGGGCTGAGCCGGCCGCGGGCCGCGCCATGGCGGCGCGTGGTTGCGGACCCTGAGCGCCGGCGGCGGGCGCGCACCATGAACTCTTGGGACGCTGGCCTGGCAGGGCTGCTAGTGGGCACGATGGGCGTCTCGCTGCTGTCCAACGCGCTGGTGCTGCTCTGCCTGCTGCACAGCGCTGACATCCGCCGTCAAGCGCCGGCGCTCTTCACCCTCAACCTCACGTGCGGCAACCTGCTGTGCACCGTGGTCAACATGCCGCTCACGCTGGCCGGCGTCGTGGCACAGCGGCAGCCTGCCGGTGACCGCCTGTGCCGCCTGGCCGCCTTCCTTGACACCTTTCTGGCTGCCAACTCCATGCTCAGTATGGCTGCGCTCAGCATCGATCGCTGGGTGGCCGTGGTCTTTCCGCTGAGCTACCGCACCAAGATGCGCCTCCGCGACGCCGCACTCATGGTGGCCTACACGTGGCTGCACGCGCTCACCTTCCCGGCGGCCGCTCTCGCCCTGTCCTGGCTGGGCTTCCACCAGCTGTATGCGTCCTGCACGCTGTGTAGCCGGCGGCCTGACGAGCGCCTGCGCTTTGCCGTCTTCACGGGCACCTTCCATACGCTTAGCTTCCTGCTGTCCTTCGTCGTGCTCTGCTTCACGTACCTCAAGGTGCTCAAGGTGGCCCGCTTCCATTGCAAGCGCATCGACGTGATCACCATGCAGACGCTTGTGCTCCTGGTGGACATCCACCCCAGGTAAGGCTGGGTGCGCCCTGCACAGGGCAGGTATCAGGAGTGGGAGATCCCCACGGCCTTGTGTCTCTGTGGAAGACTAGGGTGGGGTGAGTAGCCGGTGCTGGAGACTGGACTGGCTAGAATATTAACAAAATAAGGCCACAAAAAATGTGGGTGACCTGACCCACACAGCACTTTCTGAAGCAGCTGGGTTAGGATGCAGAGCCAAAAACTTGCCTGGGTTTCCTTTTGTTTGTGATTTTCATTTTACAATGGCACACAGGAAAGCAGTGGGCTTTGTTTCCTGTTTAGTCTTTAAAAGGCTTGAATCTGGCCTTGAGGGGAGCTGGAGGCTTAAGAAGCCCTTCAGAGCCCTTCAGATGGTGGGTGCGGCTCCTCTGTGCCTTCCCTCTCTCTGATGTCTGGCTGCCTGTCTCCCACCCTGTGTGTTTTTCTATGAGTCCTCACCAGGTGGAAGCAGGCTGCGCTTGCTCCTGTACTGGGCTCTAAGGGTGTGAGTCTTTCTGCACTAACCAGTGTCTTCTGGACTTGATGTCCTAAGGCCCTGCAGGGGACCATCCCACAAGGATTCTGGGACTGAACCCTATCTCCATCCTTACCAGCTCCTGTCTCTCAGCTAGCTAGAGAATGGAAGACAGAACAAATACCTGCAAGAAACTCCCCTATGGCCAGGAATGCCTTGGCAAAGAAGGAGGGAACTTAGCTGAGCATTCCTGAGCTCACCTCTGCTTTACTCATGAAAATACTGAAGCAAAGACAGGAAGTGTTGGCAGTGTGGCTGCTGCCTTACAACCACAGGAAGCAGGCTCCTTTTCTGTAGCCTGGGACTCTAAGGGCTTTAGCATCAGAAGGATGAGGAGACGAGTGACGCAAGCAGAGACCCCTGGGGAGGGAAGGCTAAGCCCTCCTGTGAGTAGCACCCAGGGATCTAGGGAGCCTTGGGGCAGTGGAGTAAGAGCACGGTCCTACCCCAGTGTATGCAGGGCTCCCTTTAGGACGAAGGGGTCACACTGGAAGTGTCCATCTTAGCAGACACCTTCCTGAGACTTTCCTGCCTTCAACAACAAGAAGCAGTCTTTGAACTTTACCATGTTTGCAAACAGTGTATGAATGCCCATGTCCACGGTTCCTGATTACACACCAGAGCAGTCTCTTTACCACACAGAACCACTCTCACAGAGTAACAAATGCACTCACACCGGCTCTCACTGCCCCAGTCCGCACACAGTTGAGTGGTTTAAGGAAATATTTTGCATCCACAATTACAGAGCTATCTCCCTTCCCATCACTCTTTACCCTGGGTCTGGGGCCAGGACTGCTCTTGGAAGATGCATGGAAATGTTACCTTCCGGATGTGAGTGAGTCCTGGAAAGGGCCCTCTTGTCATGAGTCTCACAGTGGAGGGGAGGTAATGCTGAAAAGGAACCAGTGTTCATTTAGAGAAGCTTAAATTCCTATCCCTGCACAGCTCTTCAACTTCCAGGATAGGAGAGCTAGCGGCTCCTTTTCAGCCCAGTGAGTGTGAAACACCAGCTGTCCTCCTGCAAATCCCTCTCCCTGTCTGTAGGCCAGAAACTGCAGAGAAAGTCCCTGAGTGTCTTGGAAGCAGAGGCAGAGTCTTCGTTTGCATTCAGCCCCCTGCTTCTCAGCCTCAGGATCTTTTAAGAAGTCCCTGTTTCTGGTACCTCAGGTTCTCTAGGCAGCCTTGTTGGAATAAAGAAGGGCTGCTAAGCAGGGGTTGTCCTGGACAGCTAGACAGGCCCCATCTCAGCTCCCTGATGTTATGGAATAGACGACTTCTCAGTGAACAGATTCATCCCTCTCAGAAGGTGTGGCACTTACAGCAAGAACACAGGGGATGGTCTGCACAGAAGGGGACATCTAGGCAGTCCATCTGCTTCTGTCCTGTTTACCTTGACCTTCTTCCATAGTGACCACAGTGCTAGTTCTAGGGCTGCCTGAGTGCCACCACCCTCAGACATTGGACTTCTTAACCAAATTGGTACCAAGAGTCTCTGTGATCTCACGGTGCCGGTCTTGGATCAGCGAAGTCCATACATCCTTTTCTGGATGTCCAGGGTAGGAGATCAAGTCTTGGCTCTCTGGAATCTTTCTCAGTCACCACTCTAATGGCCTTCTGAGGCTTAACTAAAACGGACTTGTTTTGAGTTCTGCTAGGCCCAGAATAACATTTGTGTATTGTGCCAGACAGATATTTAATGCATTGATTTAATGCAAAAAGTGGTGCCCCACTCCTGTCTTTCATGCTGATTTCTCAACTAGAACATTGATAAAGTCAATGGAAGTTCCCAGTGGCCAGTGAATACCTGATCCTCTACCTCCTCAGTGCCCACTACATAGTACTCCCTAATCATAGCTCTAGACAGTGGCAGCCAAACCTCTACCCGGGGTGCAGGGATAGCTGAGCAAGTGGGGCCAGGCCTGGATGCATGTTCTCTGTTCTTTCCAGTTCAGTCCAGGGTGAAGCTCCCTGGCTTAGGTTCATGATGCATAGAAGCAGGATGCTAGTGAAGAGGACTCAAGCCAGAAACAGCCTAAGTTGAACAGACGCTTCCTCTAAGTATCTGCCAGGGCTGCTGGGTCTCACAGAGCCTCCTGGGTATCCCACGGACCATGTCTAAAAGACCTCACTCTGGACGGTAGCAGAATTACAGCACAGCAGGTGGAGTTTCACCGTGCCCCTGACTTTACAGATGATGGAACTGGGAGACCCTTGTAAGGGGGCACTTGCCCTATTTAGAAGATCTCAGAAAGTTCCTCAAGATTCATTCCCTAGGATTTTTGGGTGGGGCAACTAAAATCTCACAAAGAGCATGTATTTAGAATTCTCAAATTACGCTTACAAGCTATAATGAAATATGCTCTATCTTTACATTTTGGCAAATATAAAAAGCCGAGAGACTGGGTTTGGATTTAGAATTCTCAGACTCCTGGAAGCCTCAGAGCCTTGAAGTTCTAGGGAGAGCAGAGCTGGCTGCCTGCCTCCCCTCCCCATCCCAGCTTTGCCAGCACTGCAGGGGCCTCCCGTGCATGGGCTCAACACTGCAACTTGCTGCCCGTGTGCCATGGACATGTGTGGCTCAGAAACACCACCCTTCTGTGATCTAGCCAAGCACACTATGGGGTCAGAGAAGATAGAGGAGCATAGCTTGGAAGCAGGGAGAAGGCATTTGGCAAAAATTCCATATTCTAGGTACTGTGGGTCCATAATGGAAGGCATGGACTACAGATGGGCAGTCCCCTTAGCCTTGTGAACTGTTTATTTTACAGGAGAGGGGTGGACCCCTTAGTGCACAGGACCCAGCCAATGATCACTCTTATCAGATCTGAGGGCAGGACAGCTCACACCAGGGTCTTTATCTCTAACACAGCACTCTTCCCAGCATCAGCTTTTCCCTTGTCTTAAATGCCAAAAGCCAGAAAACCAAGGACAGCCATTGTTAACACTCAAGTTTATTCTCTGGGTGGACGACAGTCATCTGAGACCATTCAGGACACAGACCCACTGGTGAGGCAGGGATGTGTTTGTCACTGGAAGGTTTTATTGGAGATCATTTCATTTACTGACTTCTCAGACATTCCCAGAATCACCTCTCCCTTTGCCCAGTTACCAAAGCTGGATGAGGGGCATCTCTTCAATCCCAAGTGTTACAATGCTGGAAAGCCTGTCTCCTTTGGTCTCAAGAAATTCCTTGTCCTGCACAGCTTCAGGACATACTGATGACCACCCTACCACTCACCCCACACCCACTTCACAAGCTCACACACTGGCCAAGATCATTTTGGAGAGGCTTGGGCTTCTCACCCTGCATACCTCAGATTTTACCTGAGAGCTCAAGGAATTCAGGTGCACTACCAGATTTAGGAGTTTGTGGAATGCTCAGCACCAGGTGATTTTATGAGCAGCATTGATATTGGGGTAAACACTCTAGTACCTGGGGGAGAAGACCTAAAATGAGGCCTGGTTCATTCCTGAGCTCTTTGTACAACTTTGAGTGTGTTCTAAACATTTCTGGTCCCCAGCATCTTAACTGGCAAGTAAGTACAATAGCAGCTCACAGGGGTGCGGTGCTTCAGGGAGCTCAGATCTGCAAAGCTGTGGTAGGAAAGAGCAGACAGCGAGTGCCTATGGGTTTATTATGCCGTGACTCTGAGAGCAGGTACATTGTCTCACACGTCCTTAAACAATGATTAGAACTGGGCATCATGCTGCTTCCTCTGCAAGCTGGGCCCACTTTACTTTATTTACTACCTGCCTAATACTGCCTAGTGTCCACCTGGAAAGCAGGAGAGCCAGATAGGGCAAGCAGAAAAGAACCATGTGGCTCAGGACTAGGAGCACTAGGCTGAGGGTCAGTAACGGGAATCCCACCTGCTGGCTGTGAAAGTCCCTTGTCTCTCAAGCCTCAGTATCTCTGTGAGCTTCAGAGGGTGGATGAGCAGATCCCTCATGCTATATGGCTGCAGAGAAGAAATTCCCCCAGACACAGTATGTGTTCCACACACCCTCTCAGTACTGCCAGGCCAGGAAAGGGCATCTGCAGGTGCACCGAGACCCAGAATGGGTCGCAGAACCCACTGTAGTCAGGCCACCTGGCTGCCAGCTCCCTGTCACTGGACCCTTGCATGACACAGGTCCTGGCTGCAGCCACTTATCATAAATGCACATGCAGAAAGAACTTCCAAAAGCAGAGGTTGCTGTATGGATTTTGGAGTTCAAGGCAGAGCTGGAATATAGTATGCAGTTGTTCAATAAATGCACACTGAATGAAGAATAATCATTTATTGAGTGCTTAATTGTTAAGCACTCTCTCGATACTTTTCATACAAACTCAGTTACTCTGAGTGTACTCCTGTGGGGCAGATACTCTGATCACTCTCATTTTATAGACAAGCTGATGCACAGAGAGGGTGTGTAACTTCCTTAAGACCACATAGTAATTAAGAGATGGTTTCTGCACTTGAACCCATGTGAGTTTTGGCTCTTCATGCTTAGCTGCTAGGCTACCAACCAAGATGGGAAGCCAGGCCACTGGGAGCTCTTCATGGCCTCATATCCATTAGCAATCCTTGTGTTCTCTGATAGCCACAAGGCTCTCAAAATTTACTCTTTAACATCTGTTTTAGGATACATTTCTAGCTTACTGTGCTCTCTTTTGCAAAGGTTACTTTAAAGAATGGTCAAGTCTTAATGTTTTCTTAATTTTATGGAGCATTCATTAACCTATTATAGTACAACACATACTAAGTATTTTCTAAGTGTAAGACATGAAACGCTGAACCTTGGACAATGCTTCTAAAAACCATGCAGAAAAGTCATGTGAAGACAGTCCTTTACTGCTTTATCTTTGCTTGCCTCATGTGGCCTTGTCCAGGCAGAATGCAGCTCATCCCTGTGGGCTTTACGGTCTGCAGCAGTGACACTGGTCATCTCTGCATGCACAGGATCCATTTCTTTTCTCGCAGAGACACTGAAATGATTCTTGTTTCCTGAAGACCCCCAAAGCCTTCACCAGCACCTATTTTTACATATTCCTTGTATTTTGGGGAAGGATTTTTTGGTATGGCCAAGCAAGTGGACTGTCAACCCTGAGGGGATACTGCGTTCTCACCAGGGGACCCAGTCCCTACTAGGGGGATCCTGGGGAAGTGTGTCAACCCCCACAGTCCTGGAAGCTGGTGAGTTGTGTCTGTCCCCAGAAAGAGTCTTTCCCCATGATCGGTGGAGCTCTAGTTACAGCTATTGGGAAGTTTCCCTTACATAAATGAGAAAACAGGTTCAGAGAGTTATGTGACATCCCTGAGGGGAGAGCTTAGAACACCTAAGCCAGAAGTGTTACACTCTTGGAGAAGTTCCTCAACCTCTCTAAACTTGAATCCTTATGTCTTAGGAAAATTCCACCAAAAAGATTGTTCATTAGAGCGACAGTCCAGTCATTTGTCAGGAACAGGTGACCTTTAGTCCTTCCTCTCCCTCTCTGTATCTTCAACATCTTACACTAGGCAGAGGACTTTGGAAGAAAATATCTGAAGAATCCCAAATGTAATTGGAAAGTCAGGGAATTTAAGTCCAACTCTTGCTATATGAGACAAAGCCACTACTCTGTCCCCACTATGGCACTGGTTGTATTCTTCTTATTTTCTTGGGGCAGTGATGCCCTAGTGACTCCCCAGGAAATGTGATCCTACAGACAATTTGAGAGCTAGTGCCCAAAGTTCCAGAATCAGTGGCTTGGTTTAAAACCCTGCCTCACCACCCAGGGTGACTAACTGTTTTACATCTCATATGGGATATTTCCCTTTTGCAACCAGAATTGTTCTCTGTGAATCATTAAGATACAAGACATTCAGTGCTAAAATGGGACAAATTGCTCACCCTACTGATACTACTTACCAAATATGTGATCTTGGAAAGTCACTTAATGCTTCTGTGCCCCAGTGTCCTTATCTGAAAAGTGGAGACCATAATGACATCAGTCCCTAGCTCATAGAGAACTTGTGCTATGAAATAAACCAGTGTATGTGAAGTCCCATCACAGGAGTTAACACAGTGCATATTAGAGACCTAGAAAATGTGGGTTATTGTTAATATTAACCATTAGAAGTTAAGTGACAATATTGTGAGCAATACATTTTCAGTTACTCTGAAACCTGTTGGTTCAACTTCAGTTCCTAACTCATAAAATTCTGGAAATGCAAAGGTCAGAGGGAAAAATATCTGCAAGAATTTCAAAATCCTTCAACCCAAACTAACATAGAGTTGTCCATTTGCGATAGGAAATCTGAGTGAGATAAGTTCTGACAGTGCACTAAAATGCTGGCTCCTCTGGAAGGAAAGGGAGGCCACCCTGCACTAACAGTGTGCACAGATCTGCGTCATGAATCTTCTCTCCATGGCTCGCTTTTGTAGAGCAGACCACTCTATTTTTGGAGCAGGTCACTTCCGCCCAAGCCTGGCTCTGCCAAGTTATCTGCACTTCCTGGGCAGTTGTGCCTGCAGTCTTCCTCGCTTCCCACTTTAGCGTCCCATGAATTATTCAGAACATCAGCTATAAAAACACATGCCTCTGTTGGGTTCCTTGAACTGAAGCATGTGAAACCTTGAGCTGGGCTGGAGTTAGTTTTCCAGGGCCACTTTTCCATGCTCCTTCCATGCTGCCTATGACAATGGGCAGAGTAGCTGTTGCCTTCTCTGCCACTGCATGCAGCGCATTAAAAGAGCCAGTGCTCTCAGGGGGCACTGAAATGACAGTGGTGCAAATGTCCCTAAGAATGTGGAGCAGGAACAGGCACTGGTGGTTCCTATCTTCCCAATTCCATAAGGACACGATAGCCTCTCCACTTCTCTAAGCTTGGTCTCTGAGGAATTCACTGACCTCTGCTTTGGTGACCCTGTAATGCTATGTCTTTAGCTTGATGCAGTGATGAGGCTTTGGGATAAAAGAAATGAAGCTGATTATGCAGAGTAAAGGTAGCCTTGTCCATGCCACTCAGTATGCACAGGACCCAGGCTGCCCTTTGGTGCTGTAGGACACAGTTCAAATCCTGCTTCCACTTGACAGCCCAGCTAATTCTTTCGCCTCACAGCAGAATAGTCTTTGACTGATAGTCTTCACTGTAAAGTAAGTACCCTCCTGGCCAGGTAGAAGGCACCTGGCACGACTGTCTTATGGTAAAGACAAGAATCAGATGTGCTACAATTTAGAGAGAGCAGCTCGCTGGAACTGGTATATAACAAGTGATTAATGAACACTATAAGCATCAACAGTAAGAGTTAACATTTATTTGTTCTTAATTAAGCCCAATTGCTAATTGCTGCATGTACTTTATGTTCACATTGCATGCATCTGTGTGCTTTATGCATTTAATTCTCCAGACAGCCCTTTTTGTTATTTCATTACATTTTATATAAGAAAGCAAATAAATAAATAAAATGTTATGTATAATATTCCACTACAGAGGATGATCTTGCAGCTTAGCAGAGTCACACACACTTTGCTTAAGATCACACAGCTAACAGCCAAACTCATCTCAAGTCTCTGACTCCTCCTCCAAGTTTCTGAAGGCCACTGCTGCCTGTGTTTACCAATAGTCCCTCAGCATGACCAGCCCAGGCTGCGTGGGAGTCACCATGTCCCATCTCTCACTTGCAGTGTGCGGGAACGCTGTCTGGAGGAACAGAAGCGGAGGCGGCAGCGTGCCACCAAGAAGATCAGCACGTTCATAGGGACCTTCCTCGTGTGCTTTGCCCCCTACGTGATCACCAGGTGAGCTGATCTGCAGGCGTGTGGGCGGGGCTCTTGACCTTTCAGCAGCTGCAGCCTCTCTTGGCCACGCCCATTTCCCCAAAGATGCAGCAGGAGGGCGTGAGAATGAATTTGCCAGGACCCATGAAAAGGAGTGTGTGTATTTTCCCTTTTTAGCCTTAAATTTTTTATTACTGCCCTTTGAGTTGCGCATAGTTGTGGGATCTAGTGTGATAATTTAGCACATGTACACAATGGGTAAGGATCAGATTGGGATAGTTAACATTCCCACTTCCTTTAAAAACATTTTGGTTACCACACAATCATTGTACATCTTTATGAGTAACAGCATGGTATTTCAATACAATAGAATATGTACTAGTCAAATCAAGATAGTTAATGACTTCATCTCCTTATCGTTACTTTGTGTTTGGAGCCTTTGAGCTCCTCTCTGCTAGTTGTACATAAAATACATGAATTAGTGTGAGCTCCAATCACCTCTCCATACTGGAGAATACCAGCATTTATTATTTCTGTCTCACTCACTATCCGACTTCTTTGTCTGTCCTCCTCCCACCCTTCCTAGCCTTAGTGACCACAGGTCCGCATCGTACTTAATTTATTTGTCTTGTGCCTTTCGTATTTTATGGAACATAATGTCTTCCACCTATTTTGCTGCAAATAATAGGATATTGCTCTTCTTATGGTTGAATAATGTTCCAGTTTTTATATATTCCACATCATCCTTACTCATTTAGCTGTTGATGAGTATGTTGTTTTCATGTATAGCTGTTGTGACTACTGCAGTAATAAGCATGGATATGCAAGTATGTTTCTGATATGTCAACTTCATTATTTTGGTACATACCAGAAGCGAGGCAGCTGGATCATTTGGTAGATCTGTTTTTAGTTTTTTGAGGAATCATCGTATTTTTCTCCTTAGTTTCAGTTCTTTTGGGTTAGAATCAAAATCAAGAGATTGTGACTGTCTTCTACTCCATGTCCAAGATCATTATTCTAACACTAAACCCAAGGTCCAAAACTCCTAAAAGACCTAACATAAAAGGATTGTGAGCTAGGCATATGGTGGCATATACTTGTAATCCCAGCACTCAGGAGGCTGAGGCAGGAAGATCTCTGTGAGTTCAAGGCCAGCCAGGGCTACAAAGTGAGTTCAAGGTCAGGCTGAACTGCTTAGGAAAAGACTGTCTCATAAACAAAACAAAACAAAATGAAAGGAAAGAAAATGTGGATAAAAGGCAAAAGAAAACATCATTTAGTGCCTGGACTCCTGTTGCCCACTGAGTGCCAGGTAGGACAGCCTCCGTGGTCCACCGCAGGGCCACCTGCCCCTCACATAGGAGCAGGGAGCACCCCTGTGCTCATCCAGGTGTGGCTACCTCTCCTGTGACTATGGCCGCCTGCCATTAGATCAAATGCTGTGAACTTGTCATCTTCTCTCCAGAGTGGCAGCCTCGAGATATCAGGCTGCTGTCCACTGGCCTCCAGGTCATGCCGTCCTCCAGCTTGCCTGCTCTAGCTCTGACAGTTTCCCTACCAGTTCCATCAAGGAAAAAAATATATCTCAATCTACTTTATAGACTGGAAGAGGGAAGAAAAATCCTACAGCTCTGTACCCAAAGAGTTTTGATAGTCTGGAAGTTGGTGAAAAAGGAACTTTGATGCTCTTAGGAAGTAGAAGTGAAAGCTTTCATTGAATCCAGAAAGTGAGATCTGTACAAAATCAACCTTTCTCCTTTGCCCTCTCCCCTCTCTGCATTACCAGAAACCTCAGCTGCAGGGCCCAAGGATAGCACTACCTGCCTCCCTGCTCTCCAGTACCATGCATGGTCTAGCGGGGAGTGGCCCACTGTGGACAGTTTCTTGATCTCCATATTTGTCTACACTGAGCTAAAGCCTGGTCCACTGAATCTTCAGTCCACCACTCCCAGTTCTGCCTTCTGCAGCCCAGAGCGATGTCCTCTGCTCCCCAGATCACTGTAGATGTGCAGACAATGAGTCCGGTTTCTCCTTGGTCAGTTTCCTCTTCCCTGATTGATATTATAGCTCCACTGCCTTCCATGGTCTCCTGTGGCATGCTGCTCCCCCCAGGGAGACCTCGTAGCCCTGTATCTAACTTTGAACTCCATACCTAAACTGTCTGCATGTCTGTGGCTGGATCTGCCAAAGGCAGAACAGAGCCATCTACTCTTCCATTAGTGCTGTGCACTAGGCCTCAACACTACTGAGGCTTTGTGCATGGATGGTTCTTTGCAGAGAGGCTGCATCAGTAGGATGTTTAGCAGCCTCCGTGGCCCTCTGCACGGGATGCTTAGAGGACCTCTCTTCTTCCTTAGCCCCCTAGTTCAATAATTTAAAATGTCTTCAGATATTGCAGGATGTTCTCTGAGAGCCAGAATCACCTCTGATTGAAAACCACTGGTCCAGACCCATAATCTCCAACTAGAAAGCCAGAGCCTTCATTGCCCATGCATAGTGACAGAATATAATCTGATAGCTCTTCGAGTGAGATGTAGCCAAGTAGTTAGCAGCACAGCTGTGGCATGTTGCTTCCCTGGGGCCACTCTACATTTCCAGCCCTCCACTCTGGCCTTAGGCCAATGTCCATACCTCTCTGGTCCTCCAGAAGGGAGACTGATGTTTTAAGAGTTAAAGAACACAGATCAGTGGCATGTAGCACAGGCATGGGATAGAGGACACTTCTGGTTATCATCCACCATCTGTTTTATCTAGCTGTTCTGAGGACTGAAGGGGATTCAGTGTTACAAAGGAAGCCTTGTCCAAAAGAGAGGCCCTGCCTCTTGGACCCTAGAGTAAGGGAAGCCGGGCACTCATGAGGTGAACTTGAACCCTCAGAGAACAGGTAATGTGACTCCGCTTTTAGGTGATTGGATCTTTCTCTGGCTTAATCGCATTTCCTAGCAAAATTTCCTTTTTTTTTTTTTTTCTGATTATAGGTCAGTTCCCTCTAACAGTGGCCAGGAAAAAATGGTTTTGTAAAATAGATTATAGATTGAATATGTGCCCTCCAAATGGGTTTGATGCATTTAGGGTTTTTAAAAACATTCACAAAACTGTTCGTCCTTTATGGAGATGATCAGTGTCTTACTAGGGGAAAAGTGTACACACAGGAAACCTCATGAATACAAAATAGAGCTCTGGTGAAGCTATCTGGGGCTTACTGCCACCACCCCATGCTCCCACATGGGCTTCTCATGTGCAGGAAGGAGCCATCCTAAGCAAATCTAAAACCCCCTGAGCCTCTGCAAACGCACCTCCTCTCATTTCAGCACACACCTCTCTAGCGTCTTCTCTGTGCAGACCATGAAAAACTCTCTGCAGATGAAGCATCAGTTGGTGAGACCTGAGAAGTCCCCCAGTGGGAACACTGACCTTGCAGACACACTCTACAACCCAGGTGGAACACAGTGTCATTGGGCAGGCTCGAGTCCAGGGTTCTGAGGCAACATGGAACTCTCCTGGCTGGGGATTCAAGGTTAAAGCTTGTGAAGTGGGCCAGACTCTCTCTCTCTCTCTCTCTCTCTCTCTCTCTCTCTCTCTCTCTCCCTCTCTCTCTCTCTCTGTGTGTGTGTGTGTGTGTGTGTGTGTGTGTGTGTGTGTGTGTGTCTGGAATTCAAGCAGAAGAGACAGAAGGATCAAGGTCCCAGAGCTGTGTCATCCAGCACGGGACCCACCTGCCATAGAGGCTACAGAGCATGTGGAACATGGCCTGTCTATATTGAAATGGGCTTTAGGTTTAAAAATTTTCTGGATTTCCAAGATTCATGACAAAAATACATACGATCAGTAATTTTTATATTGATTCCATTGCAAAATGACAATCATGATAAGTGATTTAAAGTTGAATATGTAATTAAAATTGATTTTCATTACTAGACAATGCCACATCACATGTGTGCCTTGATGGCTCTCACTGCTGCCTTGATGGTCTGAGGGTGAAGGGTGCTGATGCCCTGTCCTCAGTCCCTCTGGCCACTCATTTGACTCTTTAGGCACTGGTAGCCCACTGGGACCCATTCCAGTCAGTCTAAGAGGGTGCTCAGAACCTCTTCCCTGCCCCTTTCTGTCCAGTGTCTAGAAGAATGTTGGAGATACCTGGGGGTGTGTCTCCAAGACACAAATCAGTGCTTCCCTCCTGGAGATACAAGGACCCAAATAGAAGGTGGCATCGGTTACTAAGTTAGGGAAGCACCGGAGGGGAGTAGAAGGTGGGAAGATCCTTCCCAGAGGTCCTCCTGAAATCACACTGTCCTACAAAAACCTCCTCTTTCCAGTACTCCCATCCCAAACCCAATCTGTGATTGAGGACAGAAAAGATATTTAGTCTTCAAGGTAGCTGGGAGCCACAGGCCTAGTCTAGGGAGAAGATTACCTATAAATGTGCTCATTGCATGTTGTGTTCCCTCTGGGCTCCAGCTATGGCTGGCACAGCCAGGACCACATCAGAGCTGCTTCCACTGCCAAGGCACCCAACTTCCAGGCAAGTGGGGGCTCATCAGACTCAGACACCCTCCTCCAGGGAACCTGACTCAAACTCCTTCCCCCCCTTCCTCCTGGTCAAGATTGAAAAACACCCATTGATTACGAGGAGAAATCAGCGTGTTATGAGGAGTAAAGTCACCTGTGTGGAGCATTCAGCATGATGTGGACATGGTTGGCACATGCTGTGTGACAAATGGCTCTCAGAAAAACAGTTTCCCACCTTGCCAACCAAAGAGCCACCTGTATCTGGATGTGGGGGTGTGTAAGACAACACAGGAAAACATTTACAAAGCTTCAGTTTCACTCTAACAGGAGTCTGACATCTCCAGTTTACAGTTACATCAGCCATGGTGTCCTCAGGACGTTGGGTCAGTAGAGCTTTTCCTGGAGCAACAGGGTACCCACAACATCACCTAGAACTTCTTGCTAAATATTTTCTGAACTAAAGTTCACATGCCTGGACGCAGTAGGAAGGCTATTATCACTGCAGCAGTAAATGCTTCCAAGTAATTATATTGTCCTCAATAACTGGAATCAGGCGCCGAGGGATTTGGGGATCTGACAGATCCATTATTGTAGCTTTACAAAATAATGGAGTCATGTAGACAGGTGGCAGGTAGCTCCTAAATTAATATTCTATTAATAAAATGACTTTTCCACTGTGATGTCTCATGAAAATGTAAAGCATTAACTTATAGCTTATGGATCTTCAAATAAAAATTCTCAATAAGTCTTAGGAAGACCAAGGGCTGACTTTTCAAGGAATACTCTTTGACCCACCTTCCATTCCATGTACAACGTATGTGTGTGTGTGTGTGTGTGTGTGTGTGTGTGTGCGTGTGCACATGCACACACATGCTTGCATGTGTGTGATAAAAACACAGAGGTAGAGGTGGAGGCAGAGATATAAAAACAAATGGAGAGGGAGAAAGGAAATAGAGACAAAAAGCCAGGCAGACTGACAGAAACGGAGGGAGGAAGGGAGAGACAGTTGATGACCGGCACAGAAGTATGAGAGAGGGCTCCAGTTTACCACTTTAAATTTAATATTTGAAAGCAGAGGCACTTGACTGTACCATGGAAGCAGAACCTGAGTCTGGACTGGCTGGATCCAAGAAGGCCCATGGCTGTTGCGCTCACAGACCAGGGCTCAACTTCCAATATTTTTTATGTCTGGGCCACATGGCTTTGATACATCACTGCCTTGGATTGTCTGTGTACAATAGGAAGAATGGTTTTGGGGGTGACAGATGATGTTATGAAGCAGTTACTGAGGCCTTGAACCCAGGACCAGAGGAGTTGGTAGGGACTGCAGCTCCAAGGCAGGAACTCCCTGCCTCAGGGCTTCCTCTGGGAAGCAGGGTCAGTCTCTGGTCTCCCAAGTTCACAGAATGCCTCATCTCAGACCAGTGTTACCACAGTCTCAGCGCGGGAACTGGACTGCACTATGAGGGGTGAGGAAGTGCAAGTGGGCAGCTTCCTATCTTCCTTGATTTGTCCTCACTATGGCATCCAATTTAGAGAGGTGCTGATTCTCAGAGACAAGCCATGGCTCAAAGAGAAATCCCTAGGATACATACCAGAGTAAGCGGTTCAGAAGCGGGCAGGTACATAGGCTTTGGGGGGCATAATCTGCTTTTTGTCTCACCTGAACTCAGAAGGCTATAGCTCCCCGTATCGTATCCTTCTTTAATTCAACAAACTGTACCCTGCAGTGCTTTTATATTTCCCAACACATAGGTACACACACACACACACACACACACACACACACACCCCTAGGACACTTTCCAGTCTTCTTCCATAAAGGGCTGAAGCTCCCACATCAGTTGTAATGCTTGGAAAAGCACCTCCCTTCCCTTCCTCCACAGCACTACCTTCCCCCAGGTGCTAAGTATACACGCTTTCCTGAGCACTTAGGGAAAGGGCAGGGAAGGTCACTGTGCCAGGGCAGACGTATGCATTTTGACTACACATGTGTAAACATTTTCCCTTACAATAAAAAGTGATGACAGGGAAGGTTTTCTAGTCCATACCTCAAGGAATACATGGAAAGTCACCTTGGTGCTTAATGGAAATTCAGGGCAGCTGCCAGGAGTTATGCTTTTGGAAACCAGTCCTACTTCCTAGAGGACAAAGGAGAAGTGTTTGGGGGCTGTTAATGCTTTGACAAATCTATCTGTGCTGCAGGTGGGAGCAGGAGGTGAATAAACTAAGCCACTCATGTGGAGTGGACAATAAAGAAAGGCAAAGAGTGGCAGAGACTCTGCCCAGTGGTAGAATGTGGGTAAGGTGAATCCCCATGGCCCTCTCTTGGAGGGGAGGGTCCTAGGAAGGGGTGAGCAGAGTAGAACTTGGCTTGAGAAGATGAGCTGAAGTCTTCCCTTTGTGAAAGTTCATGTGGAAGGGCCCTGGTGGTCTTCCATGTGCCTGCCCACGCTGGAATTAGAAAGTTACAGCTGAGCAATACAGAAATGCTTGCCTTTCTCAGCCCTCATAAGTGAATGGAGACTTGAAATGGTCATCCAGGAGAAGGAAAAGCCTGGTAGGCAGGCACAGGGTGTCTGGGAGCGCAGGGAAAGAAAGCAGACGGGGGTGGGGCTGGGGATTTAGCTCAGCGGCATAAGCGCCTGCCTTGCAAGCAGGCAGTCGTGAGTTCGATCCCTGGTATCGATAAAAACAAAAAAGACCAAAAAAAAAAAAAAAAAAGAAGAAGAAAGAAAGAAAGAAAGCAGACAGGGTCTCGGCTAGCCACATCTTAACACGGCAGGAGCAGCCCAGCATCCCCAGGTGGAACCAATCCAGAACTGTGTCCACACCAAGCTTCTTTTTGCCTGGGGCCTGACGAAGGCCACTCCAGGACTTTTCAGAGTGTAACTTGCTACATGCACTGAGGGGAAGAGCAAGAGACAAAAATTCCCTCTAACATTACGGCCTCGTGGAAAATGTTTCTTGGAACTGAAGGAACCTCACTGCTCATCTTTGCCACCCTGCAATCCCACTGTGACCTTCAGCCAAGGCTTGCGCTGCAGACTCTCGGAGCCAACAGAAAACCCTTGCTTGCTGCTCAACCTCTGTGAGCTTTGGTTTTCTCGTCTATGAAATGAGAACAATGATATTCACTCTGCAGGATAATTTTAAGATTAGAGACTGTGTTCAAACGATTGGCCCAAAAGAGATACTAAGTAGGACTGCACTATTACATAGCTGGTGGTGAGTTCAGGTTTCACATAAAATCTCTTGGAGAAGCAAATCCAATAGATGCTTTCCCTTCATTTTCTAAATGGTGAAATTTTAAATTATCCTGAGTAATTTGATTCTGTGAAACCCAGAGAACCACCAGGTGATAATTTTTATCTTGATAGATGGTTTGATGGTATTTGGCCCTTTTGAGAAATTCTTTTGGGAGAGCCATGGTGCTTAGGGAGAATTTAGCAATACATAAGGAGACTTAAATTTTGGAAATGTGGTTTGACATCAGAAGCAATAGTGTGTTGGTATTTCCATTATAATCATTAGGTGTGAATTGTAAATATTTTGTCTTAATAAATTCATCGCTGTTCAAAATAGACTTCTTAAAGGCATGTACTTCCCACACTTTAGTAGTTTCAGTTTCTCATCCAGGGTCCTGGGGACATGAGAGAAGACAAAGCTGCTGGCCTCCATGGGGTCCTAGGGCCTGGACAGAGAGGGATGCTAAAACCAGGAAGGTGGGGGGGGGGCTCAAGACAGATTGCTTGGGGCTCTGTTTAGGAAAGGGACATCTTCATGGAGGGTGGAACCCCATAAGCTTCCTTCTCCTTCCTAGAGGCTTTAGGCAGATCAGTGGAAGTTGGCAGCAGAGTCACAGTTCAAACTCTGCTTTTTTCTGGCTTGCATCTTCCCCTGGTCAGCCACAAAGATGAGAGCCACCACCACCTCTATTTCACAAGGGCCAGAATCTCAGAGGTGCTGGGCCTTCCATGGCTATGCACGTTCTCCGTGAGAGATGCTCCCTCTCTCTGGGCCTCCATTTCCTCATTTGACAATAGGTGGGCGAGAGGATGATTTATGATCTTGTATCTCTGTCCCAGATCTGTGGCTCTTTTATATCTTGTGGATATAAATGCTGGGTAATGTCTAAAAATAGTCCAGCAAACTAGACATACTTGAGAAAGAAAGTGGCTTCCTGAGGTTGGGAAATTCCATGTGTACAATATGTAGATCTTAGTGACCCCCCTCCCAGCCTGGCATTAGTACCATGGAATTGTAGGTTCAGTGAGTAGCTGTGGGGACTCTAAGAACCCCTACTCTTGTACATGTGACTGTATCTTCCCTTGTTCTCCTTCCCTGAAGGACAGTCATCTTGACTACTGGTGGCTACTGTCAGAGACACAAGAATCCTAAATCTGGGAAGGAATTCTTTCTTGACAGCAGATCTATATGTGTTTCAGGATGGGCTCTGAGCTTGCCTGAATGTAATGTCAAATAATTCTCAGCCCTCCTTAGGAAGTTAGGGCCAGGTTTGGAATAGAGTCATAGTCTTCTGGCTGAAAAAATCAGAGACAATCGTTCAATCTCCTTGCTTTTTATATAAGACCTGACAGTCCAAGGAGGGCAAAGACTTGCCCAGGGTCACACAGCACGTCAGAAGCAGTGGTGAGCCAAAGCCAGGATGCAAGCTTGGGATTCAGAGTTAGAGTTAGGTCCAAATTCTACCTTTCCAACTGATCCTCTATGTGACTGTGGGCAAATTATTTAACCTCCTAGGTCCTCTATTTCCTCATATATTAAAGGGAAATAACCATATCTCCTGGTTCAGGGCCCTCACACATATGAAGTGATTAATAGCATGGTGCTTAAAATAAATGTCTGATAAATGTTCTCTGTTGTCATTGTCATTGTTTACATTGCTGTGGTTATTATTGTTAACTGAAGACAGTCCCTGGGAATGGAGCATGGCCAGGAAGCTGTGGTCAGGTGCAGAGTTGAACCTTGGCCAGCGATGCTCTTAGTAACACCCTCTCTCTTCGCAGACTGGTAGAGCTCTTCTCCTCGGCACCCATTGGATCCCACTGGGGGGTTCTGTCCAAGTGCTTGACCTACGGCAAAGCTGCATCTGACCCCTTTGTGTACTCCCTGCTGCGACATCAGTACCGCAAAAGCTGCAAAGAGATTCTGAACAGGATCCTCAATAGACGCTCCATCCGCTCCTCAGGTCTCACAGGTGACTCTCACAGCCAGAACATTCTACCAGTGTCCGAGTGAAGGACCATGCTCCTGCTGGAGAGTTGAGAATGGAGAATGAGATGGCTGGGAGAAGTGGCAGCAGTCTAGGGGATCTGTCTGAGCCACACCCACCACTGTCCCCCAGCAAGCCTGGTGATTCAGGGTTCTGGGGTATGTTTCCTGGCTCCTCAAGGGCAGATGTTGGACTGCCCCTACTTATCACCAAATGATGGCCATGGACCTTGATCTGGCTTTTCTTTCTGAGAAGCTTCTTTGAGCTCCAAGACTCACCAGAGGCTCACCTAGAGATAACAGTCCAGTCATTGTGAAGGATGCAGTGCTGGTGGCAGGTGGGGAGACATGGTGTCCATCTGCTTGAACCCTGGACATGAGGCTCCATGCTGAAGAAAAGCAATGCTCTCCATGGGACATTTTAGTCATGCTACAGGTGAGACTGGTGGTAGTCATGTGGCCCTTGATCTAATATAATGACTTTTCTTCTTCTTAGGTGTGGCTGCTTTAACCCAAATATTACCCAGCTAGTACCAATTAAATTGTGTTCAGCTGAGACCCTGAGGCTCTACTCCTAAGGGGAAGATGTTTAACAATTAGTGGCTAACTGGTTGCTGCCCAGCAGCTATCCCAGGAATGACAAATCGGATATAACTTTTTTCTCTCCTCCCCCCACAAAAGAAAATTCATGTTTGTATGTGTAGACAATTTTAGCATGAAAATGGTTTCAACAGGCATGGTAATACACATATTAGGTTCTGCTGGCAAAGAATTCACTTTCTTGTGATTTACATGTCATAAGTGCCAAGTAAAAACAGAAAGACGGTGGTTGGCAGGTCTCTCTGTCCCCATTGCGACCTGAATTGGTAGAAGCATTTTACCTTGTCTTATGCATCACGTCCAGCAAGTCTTATGAATTGGATGGGCAAAAACAGAACTGAGCAAAGATCTAGCCTTGATTTTCAGGCATTGGTTTCCATTATACCACTAGCTCAATATCCTATCCTCTGTACATCCATCCATAGAAAGCAGAGGCTGTGAAACATCACTAAGAAATCTTCCTGTGCTACTGGTGAGATAATAAAACTTTATGAAATATTGTAACACACACATCAATCCATTAGCAACCCTAGTCTTGATAAAAAAGCAAGTTGAATGATCCATAGTTTCTTCCCATCACATTGTTAGTCACCATTTTTAAATTGATTTGTGAATACTCAGAGCAATTATTTCTCAGTCTTTTAAGTGATTCCCTTCAGGGTGGAAAGGATGGGGAGCTATAAAATCAGAAGGCTCATTCTCCTTACAGCTCTTTTGTCCTTACTTGTGAGGTAGAGAGAGGAGGACATTGTCTACCAGGGACCAACTAGGAGAGTTCGATGGTTTTCATAGTCAGGCAGCCCCTGTATGTAAAGGTAAAGAAATTTCTGCCCATTTGAGAACACATTGCCTTATTAACTCCTAGCTTCTTGCTTAGAAAGCAATTTAGCCAGGCCCCGTGGTGTCAGGTTTTAAAGTTTCCATGGATACTAGAATGAAGACAGATGTAGCATCTGAAGAGGCTGTGACACCTTCCCAGTGCTGGCAGTGGAATGCTCACACTTGCCTACATTTGGCTCTTTAGAAAAAACAAACCTGGACATTCCAAGGAATTCCCTTAGGACACTGACTTGAGTCTCTGCTTAAGCTCTCCCAGCCGGTCCTCTGGGGAGTCATTTCTTCCCTTCCTGTAATCAGGGACATCACATTAGTAGCTTTAAATTGGCCATGGTGGAAATTTCTATACCATGCAAATACTACTAATCAGGCCTTTCCCCCTGAAAATTAGTGCAACGTCCCCCAGCACATCACTGCCAGACATGACTTTGTGTGTAACGAAAACAAAATTGGTCTGGTTCAAAGACCATTTGGCCATTGAAGTTCAGTTTGCAACAGACACTTTTGTTGAGCTTTCCTAGTGACAAGCAGCTGTCTACCCCACCTATTACCCCAGCACCAAAAGTGCCACTGAGACTAAAATCAACCAGGAGCCAAGACAACATGCACAGTTAAATATGTAAATCCTCCCTTTTCACACAAATACTCCTAAACTTGGGTAAAAGAGAATTAACAGTCCAGTGAATGACATGACAGCAGACAGTCAAATGAGAGCAGTATCAGTTTAAAGGAATAATTGTGAGAAATTCTCTCTCGGCCTGCTCTGTATAAGCAACACATTGTACTCCTGGTAGCAACTAGATCCCTTTTTCCTCTTTTTAAGCTAAAAGCAGGATCTTTCACCCACAATGCCACACATTGTAAATGATGCATTTCACAATTTTCCCTATAAAACTGCTGAAAACCCAATTAAGCCAGTTATATTGGTATCATGTAGACAGAATTCTCAGATAAACTGATTGATGACATATTTTCATCATCATTTAGATGTAAGAATTAAAATCCAAGGGGCAATGGGAAGAAAATCGATGCATCAGAAATCAGTGTCAACAAATTGTGCTATAATTACCTTTAAATAATTTCCTATATTCTTCTAGAGGCAGTTTCTAAAGTTTGCCCCTGCCTTCAGTATTCCCGATTGAATTATCTACCTCATTTTGGGAATTTAATTTAGCAAACATCGTATGATTTTCTCAGGTATAACATATAGAATCACTAAGACTTTGGGCATCTAAATCAAAGGGCCTGGGTTGGCCTGCTTGACTTTAGCTAGTGTAAGCCTTAACAGGTAAGGCACACATATAACAAGGGGGAAAAACATTTTAAGAAACTTGAATATAATATTTGTAACAGAGAGGATTTCTGACTATTAAATCCCCATAGAGTTCATTGTCCTAGATGTTCAGAATTTGCTGATAATAATCACTCTGCAACTATTCTAGCTTTTTGTTGTTGTTTTTGTTTTTGGTGGTATAGGGGATGGCACCCAGGATCTTGTGCATGCTAGGCCAGTGCTCCACCACTGAACTATACTTATAGCCCTTTTTAAATTTTGAGTCAGAGAATTGCTAAATTACCCATGCTGGCCTCAAACTTGTAATCCTCTTGCTTGGTTCTCCCAAGAAGCTGAGATTACAAGGATGTGCACATCTGAATCCATAGACCTCTTCTTGAGGATATTTCAAAGCCTGGGACCCTAACAGAACAGTCCGAGGATGGTGTCACCGCACATGGGTTTTGTGGGTCTTGTGGCCAGCTCACCTTCCAGGTGCCTCCCAGGAGGCCTGTGTTTGCTTACAAGTCAGGCAAGGGCAGAGGGGCTTGACGACGAGTTACCTCATTCCAACCGCATGTTCTTCCAGGACTCAGCTCAGGCTCCTGTCACCCTGAGCAATAAACCTCTCTCCTAGTGTTTGTGAATATTTTTTCTCTTTCACGTGCTTTTCTTAAAAGAAGACAGAAAGAATGGGGCCAACCACAGTCCTGATTGTCACTTTTCACGTGATTAGATGGCTTTGCCTCATAGAGATGGCATCCTCAGAGAAACTGAAGGCTGTGTTACCTTATTGGAATGTAACCTGAGTGCAGGGTTAAATGTTTTAGCGAAAACATTTTATCAGGTGCCAGAAATCTCTTAGATCAGCTCCCATGAGTGAGCAACAAGGTCGAGGAGCAACAAGGTCGAGGAGCAACAAGGCCGAGGTCTGGGTGTGCTAGGTTCTCGCTGCCTTCCTGAAAGCCTGCTGTGTCTGAACAGAACCACTGGTTCTTCAACTTTCTTATCCCCAAATGTTACCAAGAGAGATGGCTTAAACAGAATCTGCCGTCTTCTCCTCAGAGATCAATTTACCCCACTGGGAAAGACTTGGGAGTCCCTGTTTCCAATCCAACTAACTGACACAAGTCGTCCTCAAACTACCCTCTTAGGAAGGATGATCTTATATATCTGAATGAACAGAATGGAAAATTAGATCTTCCTAAATAACTAAGTTTCCATTGTCTTGTATCTTTCCTTAATTGTCCAAGTGGTTTCATCCCCATGTTTATTCAAAAGCTAGATTATATTGTTCTTGGAAGGCTCACTTCACTAGATGCTGAAAGGTTGTTTGCAAAAGACCATGGCATAACAGAAGCTCCAGGGGGATAAGATGTGCTAAAATAAGATAGTGGTAGATAATGGCAGTGTTGGGACCCTTTCTTAGAGAAAAGGCATTCAAAGGACCCCTCCCAGGACATGTGCATGGCGCTTGAATCAAGCTATCTCCCCAGGCAATCCGGCTGTAGAAGGAGGTAACATCTGTCACTTATGCCATCAACAGGAGCTTGTTACATCCAGCTGAATAACTAGAAGCTGAGCCAGGCTGAAGCACAGCCAAGAAGAGATGTTTTTTGATGCTAGTCCTTTGGTGTGGGTCTCTTGTGGATTCCCAGCTTCCTCTATTGTGGTTGCCCCACTAGGTTTCCCAGGAACCAGCTAAGTTCCTCAGGAATAGCAAGTTGTTTGAGAGCAGCATGCCATGCTTTGTAAGCTCCCCACATTCCCAGTGACTCCCGATGTCTCCCAGAACCAAGAGGACTATTGGGCCCTCAACTCTCACCCCAGTACTTAGTTTTTCCCTATGTTTGTTCCTGGACTGGTTAAAGGAAAGTGATGGGAATTATAAGCTCCTGCCCTCCTATTCATGTGTATCCATGAAATCTAAGGCCACCTCATGCCTCCTTCTGTAAATACTGGAGAAGCTAAAGGAACTAGACACCTTTAGGGTTTAACTATCTGGAAGGAGAGTCATAGGTTCCAAGCAATGGATCTGTCAAACTTTCCAAGAAACCTTGATGAGGATAAGGAATAGCTAAAACTTACACTGGCTTCGCTCAGCCTGACAAGACATCACGGTGTAGAGGTTCTGTGTTGGTGGTGCAGAGAGCAGAGTCCTAGAATGGCAAGCAGAGAGGCAAGTGATAGCAAGGTGTTCTGACCCAGAGCTCTGCACATCCTTCCCCCTCACCTCTCAGTTCTATGGATTCTGTGCTAGGCTTAGGGGGAGATGAGCAATTACTCTACGGTCAGGGGACAGGCTATATATCCTGAGGTGTGTGCTCGGGGCTGCAAAACTTGAGTGGTGGTGGAAAGGAGAGTTCTGAAAGGCTTCACAGAGGCAATGAAGTTTGGGCCAGACCAATAGGAGGAAGCAGCATGTGGCAAGACACAGAGATGTGACCCTGCCAGATGAGGGGTTGAGCGAGGTGGCAACTTGGTGTACATCTTCTAGTGGGATCCAGTGAATGGTATGGAAACCCCACAAACAAGACAGAGCCAACAGCATCTGTCACCAGAAGGAAAAGATGAAAGTCTTAAAGTTGAGACTGTCAAAATTAGAAAGAGAAGATACAGGAAAGTTTCATATCTATTTAGCTACCCAAAAGAGGATGAAGAAAGAAGGAAAAAAGGAAGGGAAGGAAGAAAGAGAAGGGAAAGAGGGAACAAAGGAAGATCAAAAGGGATCATATTCCTTTTGAAGGACAGGGAGGTTCATCCTTAAGAGCACAATTCACACATAAGAAACTAACCACGTCCATCCAGGGTGCATTCTCTGGCAGCATCCTGAGTGCAGCCAAATATAGGTCAGGGAGGGCAGTACTGCATATTTAGTACTGTGAAGGCTCTGAAGGAGCACTGCCACCTATACCCAGGACAAATGGAAAAGGTCACAAAGCAGAGAAAAGCGTGTTACAAAAGTCCACGTGCTACTTCATAGCCCAGCACCCACACCTCTCCAGGTGGTGCAACAATTCGCTAGCACAATGTGCCATGTAATTATGTATCTTAGCATTTAAAGGTCAAATATGAATCGAATCAATCTTAGCAGGGATCTTGTTTATCGTGTACACCCGTACTCAAGGACTTTTTAAATAAATTGGATTTGTGACATGAAAGTTGTGTGTGCCCTTTGGGCATCCATGTACTCTTATGAATACCAGCGTGTATTATTTCCTGTGTCCTCTCACACATGCCCAGTGACTGTGTAATTGGCATTATACTTACTTCCTGGCATGGAAATTGCATATGTGCCTAACAAAATTCAGAGCCCGTGATTTGATGGTTTTAAAGAGCCTAAAATCTGTATTTGGAGACAGAAAATCTGTTGTAAATTGTGAAGTTCAGAGTATAACGTCCCGGCCTAGATCTCAGTCACATTTTTTACTATCCAAAGGGGAAGAGTTTGGACTAGGAGAGAATCAAATGCCATCACAAGGACACTTGACTGAGTGCGATATTTAGTTTCCTGAGGACCCGATCTTAGTGACTGCGTAGGCATGGCTAAACCATGCAACATCCAGCCCCTTTAGAAAGGCTCATCCTACCATTGCCTTCATGCAACTTGTTGATTACCAAATGCTTGCTTTAGTTATTAAGAGTAAGGCCACCACCATACACAAAAAAATTTTCAAATGCCAAGTTTCCTTGCAAACTTAAATCATACCAAACTTCAAGAATTCCATTTACATTACTTACACATTTACAGTAAATGTGTAAGTAAATCTCTTCTGGAGTAAAAGGATATTTATGGGGAATGGTGTTTCATCAACTCTACCAGGATCTCCCCAGGGAAGACCTGGGATGCTCCAGCACACAAACAGTTGTGCAAGCCCAGCCAGTGACAAATCAAAAAGGTGCCTTTCCTTACCCTCATTGCCACCTGGTGTGGTTTTTCCTAGGCATTGGAATAACCCAGTTTTATTTTCTAAGGCTCGTCTGGAAGAAGGAATCTAAATCCTTGCCATCTGGATATGCATTCTCGTTTTGATAGCAAGCTCTTGGGAGAAAGTAAATCTGCCTCATGCCGTGGTGTGGCTTGGGCAGTAGATGACAAGAGATAAGATCAGCCACAGATGTGGCTTTTCCCTACTGGAGGAAGCTCAGAAGCTCTACTCTAGCCAGTGTCCATTTGAAGGACCACCTTCTCCGGTAAATGAAAGGAGAATTGTTAAATGCTAGCCTTAGAGTTTCTGAAGTGTCCAAATCCTGGGAAGGTCCAATGCTTTGCATTCCTTACATTTTCATGTGTTTTTGTGGCTATGCAAGGCGAGGTAGAAAGGTGTACATGACTTGTTTCTTGGGGGCATCTAAACAGGGGCCAGTAGACAAAAAACAGGAGCTTGCATTAAGGAAATCTAATGTGTGCACCAGCCAGTTTAGTTCCCCAAGGAAATGTGCATTGCATTTGCACATTCCAAGAATACTTTTGGAAACCGGGATTTAGAAAATAAATATTTCATTCCTGGGAACAGAGTGAACTGCAAATGATTGGTTTCTGCAAAATCTCGGGATTTCTTAATATCGGATTCATAGGATGACAGGTGGGACATCTGTGTGTTGTGTCAGAACAAAAAATTCCATAAATGTGTGTGCCCATAACTCTATGTGCCATGAGTGTATACATATGGGTGAATGTTCATAAGCACAAACAGCTGCACAAGGAGTATAAAACAAATGAAGCAAACATTTAGCGCTTTTTTGATGTTTCTTGACACAATAGCTTTAATTTAACTTTCCTTTAATTTATAAAGCAGAAGTAAGGTTCCACTTATTTTTTTAAAATGTTACCAAGAAGCTCTCTCAATGTGGCACTATTATCGCTCATGTGAAACACCTGCCAACAGCTCTTTTCTTTTGAAAACTCAAGATTTTTTAATCCAAGGCCAGTGATGCCTGCTCTGTTTACAATAGCTTGTGTTTCGTGAAGACATATCAACTGTTGTACTATATTTTTATGACAGAACTGATGACGAATTCAGGAGGAAAATATATATTGTGAACCTGTACAATAAAGACTCCTGTTACGCGATACCCACCCTTTGCTGATCTGGTGTGAATACATTTTTATTTTTAAATTAATGATCAGAAATGTTGGATTTCTATAATTTCATATCACCAAAGTTTATATTTCTTTTCTCTTCTACCTTCCTATATTGTTCCCTCTTTTGCTTCCCACATCTACTTCTCTAGGTGCTCCTGGCTTCACACAGCCTTCTGTGTGGTAGGTATTTATACCATGCGACCAGCTCTTAATTTGCTCGAAGCAAGACCAGCCACTCCAGCTCCAAAACACACCTGCCTAGAGAGAGGCATGTCCTTCAACCTCTGCAAGTACAAAGTATCTTAGTGTATTCTGTGCAGCTATAACAGAATACTCAAGACAGAATTTTAGTTAAAAGCAGAGATTTATTTCTTATAGTTTTGGAAGCTGAGAAGTCCAAGTTCAAGTGGTCTTGTTCTGGCAAGGCCCTTCCTTCTGTACCATTACATGGCAGGAGTAATCCCATGGAAAGAGGGGGAGAGATGGAGAAAGTGAGAGAGAGGGCTCAAACAAACACATGAAAATTGAATTGTGAATTGAGACTTCAAGACCTTTTATAATTGAAGCTAATACATTTCTGAGATTGGGACCCTCATGATCTAAACATCTCCCATTAGGCTTCGCTTCTTAACACTGTTGTATTGTAGACCAAGTTTCCATCACACGTGTTTTGGGGACACATCTAATCCATAGCAACATGCAGCTTCTACCACTTTGGGCTGGTTCTTTAGGCATTGCCAGATGCCTGATGTGCTGCTCAGATCTCAGAGGTGAGGCCTGGAGGGAAAAGGACTCATATGCTGATAGATTTCCCACCAGAAACATGGCAGTGTGCTAAGGGTCTTAGCCAGTTGTCACCGAAGGCTCTAGGTGTGGGGATTTCTCCTTTCATACTAAACTCAGAGAGGTGAAGTGATTTTCCCAGGATCATACAGCTTTTAAGGGCGTATTGGACTTGAATTCAGACATAAGTGGTGCTAAATTCGTATTTCACCAAGATCAGGAAGTGCTTCTTAAACTTAGAGATGACTCAGGAAAGGCCTCTCTGTTTATAGTTGGAAAAACTGAGGCATTAAGACATGACTTCTCAGTATTAGATATTAAAATTCAAGATTGTCCTGCAATCTCAAGGAACTCTCTTCCTTTGTTCTTTCAAAAAATTATGCCTGTTATCTAGTTCACACGTGAAATTTGCCACTTCCTAGCTGTACCTGTGAGCACATTCATTTGACTTACAGGTTTCAGTAATAGCCATGGTTTAGGTATCCACTTGAGGGTATAGGGACAGATCTCCCAAGGATAAGGGAGGGGCTGCCCTATTTCCTTTTGCACTGACTTCCAAGAGGTTTAAGATATTACATATTTAGAAGAGTCATGTTCAAGCTCATTTTCTAATTTATTTGGTTTGGCCTTATGTAAAGCTTTCTGCTCTCTCAGCCTACTTGTTCATCTGTAAAAGTACAGGCATAGGGGTGGGAGAATAGCTCAGTGGCGTGGTGCCTGCCTGGCAAGTGTGAGGTCTTGAGTTCAATTCCTGGTTCAAAAGAAAAAGCAAAGGCATGATGTAAGTTTAGACAAAGAAATAAATATAAGAGAATCAAAATCCAGAAATAGATACATATACAGTCAGTTGATTCCACAAAGGTATTAAGACAGCTCAGAGGGAAAAAATAAGTCTTTGATCAATTGATGCTGGAATAGCTGGATATCCACAGAAAATATAACAAAATTAGATCCACCTTCTACCCCATGGACTAAGACTCACATGAAATGTCTTATAGATTGAAGTACAATGATTTAAAATATAAGTCTACAAGAAGAAAACACTGGTGAAAAACTTTGCAACTTTAGGGTAAAAGGTGACTTGATAGAATGCAAAAACAGGACTACAAAATTAATTATTTCTAAGTTGAGCTTCATCACAATTAAAAATTTCTGCACTTGTAACACCATTAAAAAAATGAGAAAACAAGCTGAAGGATGAGGAAAATAGTTGCAACTCATGTGCCTGGAAAAGAATTGTATTCATCTTATCTAAGAGAAATAATCCAACAAAAATGAGCAAAGATTTAGACATTTCCAAAGAATATCTGCAAATATTCAACAAACAGAGAAAAAGGTCCCAATATCATGAATCAGCGGAACAAATGAAAATTAAAACTACAATGTGATACAATACACATCATTGGAACAGCTCAAATGAAAGATTTGCAGTATCAAATGTTGGGGAGAGTTGAAACAATCAAAATGGCCAGACATTGTTGTAAAATAATACATTCAGTTTGGAAAACAATTCAGAAGTTTCTTTTAGAGGCAAACAGATAGTTTACCTTATGTCCTATCAATGCCACTTCTAGGTTTTCGCCTAGGATAAATGAAAATATGTCTACAGAAAGGCCTATACCTGCTTTACACCATACTAGCTCTACCTGTAATCATCCCCAAACCAGAAACAACTAAATCAGTCCATTAACAGGTGAAATATAGTCATGGTATATTCTCTTTTATTCCATTTAAATGGGAAGGTCAAAAACAGAGTCAATGACATCATAGTACAGTGATTTACAGCAGCACAATTCATAACAGCTAACTCTTGAAACCAGCCTACATATTCATCAGCAGATGAATGGGTAAAGAAGACATGGCATTTGCACATCATGGAGCACTACTTTGCCTTAAAGATACACTTGAGTCATTTGTAGGAAAATGAATGCACTTTGTGATCATAATTAAGTGCAAGAAATTAAGTGAAATAAATCAGACACATACACTTTAATACTGCCTGGCTTCTCTTATATGAGGAACCCATATTATAAATAAAGAGCAAAATAAAAGGTAGCTAATAGGAGCTAGGAAGATAGATCTTTCTCAAATGCAAAGAGATTCAAGAGATGGGAAGAGTGGGGATGGAGGGAAGGGAAAGGAAAATGAAGAAAGAAATTAAGATGTGTTATGTGCATGTACCTAATCTACACAAGAAATGTAAACATTGTGTACTGGAGGTGTATACTAATGTAAAAAGACCAAATCTAACTTGTGATGAAAAGTTGATCAGTGATTATTTAGATTTGGCATGGTGATTATAAAGAGCCTAAAACAATATTTGAATGATCAAAATATTGTGTGCATTTGGGTTGCACAAGTCTTGATAGATTTGTTATGCTATCCAACTGAATATTTTAAATAAGTGAATGATGTTATATACTGATACATAGAGGCTGAATAAAGTTGTTTTAACAGTAAGTAAAGCAGTATATCTCCAAGATTTCCTCTAGCTTCTATAAATCTTGATAAATACTCAAAGGTATCTTCTTTACATTATTGCAAATTGCCACTTTTTCACCCTGCTGAGATTCTCCCCCAAAGATGAAGTTCACCCATGCTAACAAGTCCTCCTCTGGAGCAGGGGTATTTTTACCTTTCATGGTTGTGGGGACTCGGTAGTCAATAAAATCTGTCCATGTCCCCAAATAAATTTTTCTTCAAAGTAAATTACATAAGATTCCAAAGGAAGCCAATAGTAGTAAAATATATTTACTAAAATACTTTATAATTTTCAGTAAAGTAATACATATCCTTTGTTGTTAATACACTAAAAGGACAGGAGTTAGTAGCAGTCTAATAATTGTCATTGTTTCAAGAGAAGAGCCTAAAAAGCTTTCAAATATTTGCAACAAGAGTAAAGTGATATAAAGAAACCTGTGGTATCTATTGGTAATGGAGTCAGAAGTGGGCTACTATCTCTGTAGTCTGGTCCTCATTTATAACTGAAGATAACATTCAATTTCTACTAAGGGTTCGGGAAAATAAAGATAAAATGAGACACTGCTTCCCACAGTGGTGCTGTTTTTGGAGGGGGTGGGTTTTGAATAACCCACATGGGAAGCCATGGTCTTCCATGGCACAAATCATTTATCCAAAGATCCCATTTACAGGTCCAGGTTTAGTTAGATTCTTCATCATAGCCATGAGTTTGCATTTGTTTTCTTTATTGAAGATGCTATTTCAAAAATTTTCTGTGGCTTTAAAGTACCTTAATGTTCAATAGTAGAAATCATCTCAGAGTCCCTTTCCTTTAGATGATACTTGTTCTGTTTTATCCTTGAACACCAAATATTGACCCAAAATCACTGCCAAAACTTTTGAACAAATTCAGGGGATGTATCTGAAATTAACTCAATAAAGCCCCAGTGGCTGGCATAGAAATTTAATTCTTTATTAAATTATTTCCCCCAGTACATCTGATGTTCTTGTAGACATAGCACTTTTGGTAGCTGAAGGGCATTTCTATGAATGCAAAGCCCCATATGCCATGTGTGAGTCTTGAGGGCAGTCTCTGCTTTCCAAACAGTTCAGAGGTGTCTCAATAAAGGATGGAAGGAACCAAGTTGGCTCTCCGATATCAAACAGTGTTCTTTATGTCTGGTGGAGAAAAGGCTGGGACTCTTGCTCCCTCAAAACATGAGGTGACGCTGACTTTATAGAAGGCAAGCTCTTTCCAAGGAAGAGGAAAGTTGCTGGACAGGCAGGAATAGGGAGGACACTGCAAAAGTTCCCAGAGAGCTCTGAGCTCCTTGTTAGAGTGGGTGATGCATAAAATTGTGTCAGAAAACCTGACTTAGCCCAGGGATTGGGGTTTTCTGGCTGTGTAAAACTGGACAACTTACTCAAGCTCTCTGAATGTCTTTTCCTCATCTGTACAGATAATGATGTTGCCTACTTTCAAGGGGTTTTGTTAGGAGGAGCCAAAGAGACATTTGTATCCTCAGCCCCAGCACAGGTACCCAGATTCACTCATACATTAATCTTTCTGTGTGCTCCACCCTGCCCACTTTCCCATACAAACTCACTTACATTTGCCTTCTCAAAATCAAGGGAACAAAGCTACACTTTGGGAGTTTGCTTCAGCCTCGGAAAGGAGTCCTCACTGAGGACCAATGGCTGATAGAGCCACTCTGATTAGCAAATACCCGCTGGCTGTTGTCTGGGTCTTC